TTTAAGTAGTCAGTTAACAAGGTCTTTCATAGTAGCATTTCTATGGGATTGACGTACTAGCATGAATGGCTGCAATTATCAATGTTCACTGATGACATCTTCTGACTGGCCCTCTAGAGGCGAAATGACGCCAGGAAAAGCGGACGTTTGTCGTCTGCTTCACAGCCCGTTTTATACCCGATATTTAGGGCATTTCGCAGCACATACAAGTTGTTTTTATCGACAGAATTCATTCATAGATCTCAAATTTCATGTACAGAGTGTCAAAAGCCACACCTCTGCTCCCCTTTAATAGGATAAAACTACTTGCGATATCAGTGTGAAAGCTGAAAATTGGTTAATTATGCAAATTAATATGCATAAATATTTACCCCAAAAGAATAAGGTTCCTACATAGTCCTCTTGTATCCATGTACCAAGTTTCATTGAAATGGAATGATTAATATATACTTGAAATATCAAAAGTTGATAATAATTAATATTCATGGATATTAACCTAAAAACTATCAGGATTGTGCATTGTCCTATGACATCTATGTACCAAGTTTCATTGAAATGTGATGATTGTACTCGAGATATCAGTGGAAAAGCCAACAATTATTATGCAAAATTTTTTACCAAAAAGTAATCAAATTTGTCCAGTCTAGTACATCTAAGTACCAAGTACCAAAATTCAATGAGTAGCTCATTAGATATCAGTGGAACAATCATGGAACAGCTAAAATATAGCTAATTATCATGCAAATTAGGTAATTAATAAGCACGAGTTCTTACTAAAACCTGAATAAAATCAGCCCAATGCATCAACGATCAAGTTTCATTAAAAAGCCAACATGTGGTTCTTGAGATATCAGTGGAACAGACACACACACAAACCCATATAAAGACAGACATACTAACTACAAATACTCCCATTGTGTGCCTTGCATATTGGCATGTATGTAAATGGTCTCTAGATGGTAGTTGAGCGCGGTAACTGAGCGTCTCAGTTTTCACGAAGATACGAGTTGAGCGTACGCTCACTTTCAAAAGTAAGCATGGAACCAAACAATGGAATGCTCGAGTGCGCTCATTTTCAAAAGTAAGCGTGGGGACAAACCATGGAATGCTGATAATGGAATGAAAGCTACGCTCAGTTTAACATGAAGTCGATACAAGTTCGTTTCTGAGGTCCAACTTAAGTTAAAAAATCCAATCTGGATATATCACATATTTACTTGAGGGGACGTCTCTTAAAACAGACGCAACCATATTTAACTAAATATTCACGCAATTCACGCAGTTTGAACCCTATGACCTTGTAAGATGGACGCGTTTGGTAATGAGAGACTACGCTCACTTTTACAAGTAATAGTAGGCCTGGGAACAACAATTGAATGAGGAGTGCGTGTGTCTGATTTCAAGTAACCACAGTAGAGGGACTGTGAAGTACCCATATATGTAATAGTAATAAAAATGCAACTCTGACGTTTGTTTTGTCTTGAGTGTGTAAGCGTGGAACCAAGCAATGGAATAGAGTGCGCTCACTTTTAAAAGTAAGCGTGGGAACAAACCATGGAATGCTGGTAATGTGGGGAGAACTAAGCTCAGTTTATTATGAACCATGTTTAATTAAATATTCAAGCAGTTTAACCCCTATGATATTGTAAGAAGAACGCATAAAAAAGTATTCCTTCCCGTATCAGCTTTCTGAAGATACGAGTTTAACCATGGAGGTAAAAAGAGACTCAATGGTTGAGCGTACGCTCACTTTCAAAATTGGGCATGGAACCAAACAATTGAATGCTTGAGATAGTTTACTTGTAAATTGAAGTCTTGCAACCCAATTAACACCTCGACCGAGGTGTGACCACCTTTTCGTATTGTTTATGTGTAATCGGCGGCGTTTTATATTACAGATGGATATGTCTGTTTCCGTCACTTGTAGACAACTATCCAGTAGAGTCCCAAGTATGGGTGGGATGAGGAGGATTATATATATTAATAAATCTGTTTCCATGCCTGTTAGATAAATACGGCCAAG